AGAATATAAAATTAGTAATTTTGATGTCAATTTCATACATGCATTGTGGATTTTCAAGATTTTAGAACTTTAATCCATATTTTAAAGCTTATGAGTTTGGGATTGAATTTTGATATTAATTAAGAAGTCAAATTATAATTTGAGCTTGATAATGTAGAAGTAGTTGGATTTTTGATAAGTGTTTTATACATGCATTATGGATTATGAAAAATCTGAATTAATTCAAGTTCATATTTTGAAGAGACAAATGAAATGTTTTAAGAAAATCAAGTTTATAGAAATTTGGAATTAATCCTAAAGTTTTGATTTTGTAATTAGATTTTTTTTTATTCAATCCATGCATTATAAATTCAGTACATACATGATTATAAATTAAGTTGAATTTATTTAATCCATGCATTTTATTTAGAATACCCATGATTATAAATTAAGTATTTGGTTAAAAATTGAGTTAAGTTGAATTTCTAAGAAATTGATTTGTGTAATTCATAGTTAAGTTGATTTTGTTATTAATAGTAAAAATTGGATCTATTGGTATTACATACATCATGGAATTTCAAGAGGTTGGAAACTCTAATTTACATTTTAGAATTGTGGGTTGATATAAAGAAGATGAATTAAAACTAAATTTGGGCAATTGGAGCGTGATTTTGAATGAATGTTTTCTAATTGAAAGTGTTTACAAAATTATACAATGGTTCTCCATTTTTGTGTACCAAAAATACATGTTTTGAGGCTTTGAATATCAAATATGAACTTTAATTACAATTTTAGAAATTTCGGAATTTATGTTGTCCGCTCGAGCGAGGAAAGTCTTACTCGAGCGTGAAAATCGAGCTCCCAGTAGTTTTTCAAATTTTGCAGTCCGCTCGAGCGACCAAAGTGGCGCTCGAGCGGAGACCCATTTTCAGCATATTTTGAAAAATTGCATTTAGTTCACATTTTTATTCTCATCTCTTTCCAAGGCATTCTAGACATGATTTATGACTCAATAAAGATTAATAAGTTATCAATCAACATAAATTAGTTAGTTAAAGAATGAATCATTGATGTAGTGGTAATTGTTTAAGAAGCCGAGTAAAAGATCAATCTATTTGGAAAAGAAGGGCTTAGTAATGGCAGAATGCGTGAAATAAGAATTCGGTTTATTTGAATGAGAAAGAATAAGCATAGTAGAACTTCGGACTGTTTAAACGGAAAAAGACTAAGAAAGTCAAGTTTGACCAAGGGAGTAATATTGTATTTCAATGTGTATATGTTATGTGCTTGTGTAGGTCACGCGCCATTGTCTGCCTGATTTATCTGATATGTCCAATCCGTCTAATTTGCTTCTGCGGCTATCTGTGAGTAATAACTCTGTAAAGTTATGTTTAACTTAAGTATTTTCTGACTGGTATGGTATGATCTGTTTTCTGAAATGCTATCTTACGAATTATGAATGAACGTCCAATTTTTTGAAAAGTATTTGTGGCACCTTTAGGTCATGTGGCCCTCGCCCGGGGGTAACAATACCGCGGCCAATCTGCATGTGGCCTTCGCCCGGGGGTAACAATACCGCGGCCAATCTGTATGTGGCCCGTGCTTGAAGGTAACAATACCATGGCTACTTGCGCGCAAGATATGGGCCTTTATGGTCGTTGGTACCAACTATGTATGTGGGTCTTTGGACCAATCTGATCTAATAGCTAATGGGTGTACCACATATGATCTTATGCAAAATCTGAATATGAAAATGATTATGAATATGTATACGAATCTGTTTCTGTTTTGAAGTCTGAATATGCTCTGATTTAAATACTGGATCCTAACTTGTGCTGGGCATCATTCATAAAACCCCTTTACTCTGTTATTATTCACTGGGCTCTAGCTCACTGTATTATTTATGTATGTAGGTGATCAGGCATGTGACCAGGCTTAGAGGCATCTGCCTAGAATCTGTTTTTGTTAGCCAACCTATGTGTCTCTCGTGGAGGTTCCGGATATGTCAAGTGATTACCGCTATGTGATTTAAAGTTTAAGTCCTTTTTGTCTGATCTGCGTATATATTATGACGTAGGGGCAGGTTCGGGTCGTGACACCAAGAGTGCCTACAAATAGGAGAAGAGCTTATTTGCTCCAAACCATCTAAGAATTGTAAAGCTTTCTCCCATGTGAATACAAGGCATTCTCTCAAACTCTCTTGCGTTCTTCTAACTTCTCTTTCCAAAAAGTTTGTGAGTTAGGCTGACTTAGTATCATTAAGTAAGACTTGAGATTGTTTAAGTGCTGCACAGATAGCTTGGAAACAACCAAGGCCGTGACACGAGCTACCCAATCTAATTGTAGCATATCAGAAAGACAAGCACCAGTAGTACAATGGGCAGACCCATTAGCACTTCTTAGGCACCATTTAAAGAACACACCATCTTGCCTATCTAAGGATTTGATATCCTCAACAATAACACCACAATCCCAAGGGGAGCTTCTTCCGAAACGCATAACTGAACAACACATAACATTTTACTGTCCAAGCTGAGGAGGAGACCAAACAGATGGACCACTTCTTGTATTGCTTGACAACCCATGAAGCTGTGGGCACCTCTTGTATTGCAATAAAACAAGCCTCTTCTATGCAGGCTCAATCGATCACCGGAAGAGGGTCCATGGGAACATGATTAAAAAATGATGTTACAAGGGAGTGTAACCTTATATGATTGACATATAAAAGGGTCCATGGGAACATGATTAAAAAATGATGTTACAAGGGAGTGTAACCTTATATGATTGACATATAAATTGTGAGAATTTTTTAAAGGTTTCCAATATTTTTTTATATTTTATTTATTTTTTAATGATAAGTGACAGAATGACTACATTGAAAGGATATAGTTGTTACAATTAAAAGATCAAAGTAAAAACCAAATGAAAGTTGGAAAGTGAAAACTATAATTTACTTTAATAATATTTTCATTTGATATTTTTTATGAGAAAAATAAATAAATCACATTTGCACAATCTCAACAAAATTACCAAAGTACACTAGCATTTTAATTTTAAATTATGTCCAAAATTTAACTTTGGCATTAATTGCGAGATGATCTTACTAGCTCATCAATTTTTTCAAGATGTAACATATGTGTACTTATTTGATTGAAATTGAAAGGGGGAGGGGGTAATCAATACTTTGCAAATATATAATGCTTAAAAGTGGTTTGGTTGTTTACTAAAACCATTCTCTCATAGTTGTTGAAGCATTGAATTAGAACATTTTTTTTTTCTTCTTACAAACTTTTTCCTTTATTTATTTAGCAATTTAATTGATGTTCCATCTTTTTTATACAATGACTCCCCTTATGGCCTGTTTGTTTTGAGTGACAGAGGCGGGTACAATATGTTCTTTTAATGTTTAAATTGACATAACACTTTTATCTCTTTATCATCTTAACGAACCAAATTACTCATGAACAGCTCAACCTTAATTCATTTAAAACTTGTTTGAGTCTGACGCTTTTGTTAAATAAACAAACTCAAAGCAAATATTTAGACTCGTTTAGTATTTGAAGCAAACTCAGGTAGATCCAAGCTTGGGCCAAATAAACTTGTGAACACAATAATATATGAATTATTATTTAGGGTTGGTTTGGGATGTTCTAAAAAAGTACACTTTTTGACTTATTGGCTTATATGGGTTGGGTTTGGGTTGGATTTGATGTGATGTGTTAGAGAGGTGATGTGATTTAGATAAGATGATGTGACTTAAATAGGATAGTGACTTTTTGACTTTTTGTATTATTTAGGTTATGCCAAACTTGGCCTTAATTTCAATAACATTAACTAACATATTTTCATTAATTTATTTCATTTCTCTATTTATGTTTGGTGTTTGTGAAAATTTAAATATTTGATTCATGAAGTTTATTAATAATATAAGCATTCTTTCATTTTTATGCTAATACTACTTTTTAATGTGCATACTAATTAATTTTTTTTTTTTTTTCATTTTCTTTTGAGGCTCGAGTGAGGCTTATTTATATATTCAAGTTGACTTAAGTTGACCTCAAGCTTGTTAAATATTTGACAAGCTAAACTCAAGCTCTATTTGAGCTTAGCTCAATCTGTTTGCAACCTTAGTACTCTAAGGGCATGTTTGATTGGGTGGATTAGAGCATGGGATTAGGATTATTAATCCGTGGATCCAATTATCTCATGTTTGTTTTAACATTTTGGTTTAGGATTATTAATCCAATGGATAATTAATCCAACAAATTTATAGGATTATTAGTAATGGGGTAGGGGTGGGATTATTAATCCAATGGATATTAATCCAATTGGATAGTGAATCCTACACTAATTTAATAGGATTATTAATACTTCACTATTAGTCTTTTGAATCAAACATGACCTAAAATTATTAAAGAATTACACGTGTTTATATCCTCTTAGCTTTATCAAATAAACAATTAAATAGTTAATAATTCTCAGCAACTATTATCTCATTGCCCAATTGAAATTTGAATACTTTCTATACAACAAGGTGAGCTCACTGCCTACTCTTAACGGGAAACTATTTGGGCCATTTATATGCTATGTCTTTATCACATCAACTCTTATAGGGAACTACAATTTGGTCCACTTAATTGCTATTTCTTTATCACCTTCTCTTTCATTTAACCTCTCCCACAACCTTCCTTGTCCCTTCTCTACCTAAAATTTCCAACCACAAACCCAAAATACTTTAGTCCCTTCTCCATCACCATTATAGAAGGACACACAAGTGAACACAATGTTCACAAATATTTTCACATTTATAGTTGCGAATATTTTGTCTCACATTTGTACATTCTGTGTCAAGTACTTTATGTGCACATAGACTTTTTTTCGAACTTTAATGGCACTTCGGATGAGGTCCCCTTCTTCCCTTGCATGCGATCGCAAATTTCACACACAATCTATGGTAATCACACAGTGGTTTACAGGAAACTAAACTATTTTTACATACATTCATATTGTTACAAATGTTGCCACAGTAAATGCAGATAGACATATATATGTGAAGAATTGGGGGTAGGAGTGAAGAACAGAAAGGAGAACAGTGGAAATAAGTAATGTTGAAATTCTTAAAAAATATTTGCTGATTGATGTACTGGAAGTCTGTAGCTATCCAAGATTGGTGCCTGCAAAACCAGATGTATTCTCTAAGACAAAGTTCCGCAAAAGTAATTGAAGAAAATAGATGTGCATGAGCTAAATTTCTAAAAACAAGGATTACAATACTATTTCCTATTAGAAGAATCATCATTTTTTTTTTCTTTTTCCTTTTTCATTTTGGCTAGAATTTTGATTGGATGAGAAAATACATAACACAGGACAAGAATTTTTTCATAAAGTTAGCTATGAGGGGTTTATAAATTCCTATTTAGTTCAATAGACAAAATAGTGAAATATCAGTGATGCCTCACCCGTAAACAATGGAGATGAAAAAAAAAAAGTCGGGTCTTTTTTATGTTTGAATCATGGATTTGAATAGTGATTTGAAAAGAGAAAGAGAAAAGGTGAGGCAAATGTGAATGAAATATAAGTTCATTTTTTTCTCCATTTTTTTCACTTTCTAAATTTTTATTCAAATCTATGATCCAAACACAGTGTTAACGAAACTCTGCATTGCGAAGGGTGTGTAAATCAGTTCCCCAAGTTGAGATGGGTTGAGTTTGATCTTGCTGCAATGAGAAGTAATGCATAAGACACTATGACAAATATAAATCAAAGACAGTGCTGAAAAGGAAGAAGCCACTAGGAGAGAGAGAGATTACAGGGAAGCAGGACAATGAGTCAAGAAAAACATTTGGGGCAGGCATAGAAGAGCTTGTGGTTGTCTGTGCCGCTTGTGGTACTTGTTGCGCTTGAATGAACTGGAGGTAGGCCAAATTGGCCATTCCAGAAGGTGCAGCGGCTGCTGGAAAACTGGTGACGTAAGCAGGAAACTTCATTGCATAATTTTTTAAAGCACAAGTCAGTAATTAAAGAAATATAATTTCGATGTTCACCAATTAACCCTTAATAAGTAGTTGATCTGTTGCAGCCTTACCTCTTTCATGAAGAAGCTATCAATGTCGAAGTCAATTCTTGGATTCAAGGAAGCCAGTTTCATTGATAGGAACTGTTATATGAATCAACAAAATTAAATTATCAAAGATCAAGTAATGAATTAATGAAATTGGGAATACAAGTAGACAAGAAAAAGACACACCTCAACTTGTCTTTGAAGAGATTGCACATAGTTAATGATTTCTTCAAGCATTCCAGCCTTTCCTGTAACTTTGCTGCACCCTGGAACTAAATCTTGCAGACATTTCATCTTCTTGTTGATCTTCTCCCTCCTTGCCTATTAATAACGCATACATCCCTTAAAATATGATTCTCTTTCCAAAGGATATTCACATCAATTTTCAACAACAATATTGTTTTGCAAACTCAATTCACTTCAATTTTTAACAAGACTATTATTTTGCAAACTCAATTCACAACAATTTTATATTGTATACTCAATTCACTTCAATTTTCAACCACAATCTTATTTTGCAAACTCGGTTCACCTCAATTTCAATAACAATATTATTTTACAAACTCAATTCACTTCAATTTTCAACGACAAATGTTATTTTGCAAACTCAGTTCACTTCAATTTTCAACAACAAATTTATTTTACAAACTCAATTCACTTCAATTTTCAACAACACTATTATTTTTTTGCAGATTCAATTCACTTAAATTTTCAACAACAATATTATTATTTTGAAAACTCACTCTTTCAGCTAAACTGTGGCTATCCATGGCCTGTCCGCGACGTGCCCGGTCATGAATGTAATCAGTGTCAATCGAAGTTTCCCTCTTACGTTTTGCTGCTGCGACCTCAGATTCTCGTCCTATCTCTTTGTCTTTACATTCCTCTGCAACAAGAAGCTGCATTGAACAAAACAGTTATTTTATTTGAATTGAAACAAAATTTAGTTGCAATTCAATTTTCTTTTACGCACAACAGAAGAGACCTCGGCTTTTCTCTTGTTCAAGTTAAGTCTCCCATTTTTTTGGTCCGCCAGCGAATTCAACGAGAAAGAGTGATCCATGTCAAGAAGAGAGAGAGAGAGAGAGAGAGACAGAGAGAGGGAAGTTGGGATACAGAGAAAGAGAGAAAGGAGAGGCCGAAGAAGCCCCGTGGAGCGACCATGAGAGGGGTAAAAATAATAAAAATAATATACAAATCTAATTTTAGATACATATGTACTTTATAATTAAAAAATAATAATAATATAATCAAATATCACATATAAAAAATGAGGAGTGATGGGCACTCCTCCAATCACCACCCCCACCACCCCACGAACATGTGGCAGGTGATGATTGATGATTGGAGGACAAGGGAAACAAAAAAATAAAAAAATAAAATATAACCAATGAGAAAAAAAGGGGGTCAAAGGGAGTGGAAAAAAAAAGGGGTCTTAGACATTTTTGATAAAAAATAGTGGTGTTTTGGGAAGTTAATAAAAAGTTGACTTTTTTAATAACTTTTTTGGTAAAAAGTTAGGTTGTTTTGGATAAAAAAATTGACTTTTTTTTTTTGTTAAAAAAGCTGAAAAATAAAAAAGTTGACTTTTTTTGACATGTTGTCAAAACACCATAAGATTCTATGGGTTATAATTAAAATATTATTATAATTAAAAAAAAAATTACATAACTAAAACTAATAATGTATATAATATATTATTTCCAAGGCAGTACATAGTAGAATTTCTCTCAAACAAATTAAGCGGGACAACACTTCTTCTAAATTATTTAAGCTTGGTTTGACAGCACAAACATCTTATTGATTATTGGACCACGCATACTTAATAATTTAAAATAAGCTTTGTTCCACTTAATTTGTTAGGCAAATTATACAAATAGTCCCTATAGTGTGGGGCTTGTGTTATTTTAGTCTCTAATTTTTCAATTGTGACATATTTAACCATGAATTTTGAATTTTGTTTCAAATAAGGATAACTGAATATATAATTAGATTTTTCAAGGATAAAATTGTCAATTTGATAAAATATAAACTAATTTGACAAAAATAAATGTCAAACAAATATTTTTGAATTTTTAAAAATTATTTCTACCAACTAGAAATAAAATTATGTAAAATTGATAAATATTTTAGATATTTATTTATTTTTTTTATCAAATTAATTTTTATTATGTGTTTGGATGATAATCATGTAAAATTAATTTAAAAAAATTAATCATGTAATTTTTATTAATTTTACATAATTTTATCATTGGTGGATAAAAATAATTTTTAAAAAATTAAAAATATTTTTTTGACATTTATTTTTGTCAAATTAGTTTGTATTTTATCAAATTGACAATTTTACCCTTGAAAAATCTAATAATATTTTCAATTGTTCTAATTTGGAACAAGATTCAAAATTCAGAGTCAAATGTATCACAATTAAAAAGTCAAGAACCAAAGTGACACAAGTCCCAAACTATAGGAACTATTAGTATAATTAATCCTAATTTGTTTTATGGACCACATATACTTAATAATTTTTCATTTAAGCATTGAGTTGGGTACTGAAAACAACTTTGTTTTATGGACCACGTATACTTTATCTTTTTCATTTAAGCATCGAGCTGGGTAAAACAAACTAATAAAAAATATATTTAAGATACTTGTTATATTAATAAATTAAGCCTTCGTTTGAGTTGTGAGTTGACTTTTTGACTTTTTAGTTTTTTTAACTATTTTAGCCCGGGGCTAAAAAGCCTGGTTTGGGAAGAGCTTTTTGATTTTTTGACTTTTTGATTTTTTTTGTGAGAGATGAGTGTAATGATTATGGGTTGGATTTGATATTTTATTTTTTGTGGCTAAAATAGCCTATTTTATTTTTTGTGACTATTTTAGCCCCTAACCCACCAAAACCAACTTCCCAAACTATCCCTAAGTTTAAAATATTTTGAAAAATATTAACATTTTGTTTGTTTGAACACTTTTAAATTTTTTTTTCTTTCTAGTATTTGATACACTGTGGGTGTTTGGGAAGTGACTATTTTAGAGACTTTTTGACTATTTTAGTAGGCTATTTTAGTTTTTGTGTTTGGTGTTTGGGAAGATAGGATGTATTTTTATTTGAGTTGATGTATTGAAAAATGTGTTGAAATGATGTTTGAAGTTAAAATGACAAATTTGTCCTTAACTTCACATTTTCCAAAATTAATTTGAAGGGGTAAAATTGTAATTTAGTTACCTGTCATTGTGACAGTGGTAAGACTATCACAGTGACAGCCACTGCCGGCATTTTTTTTTTAAAAAAAAAAAAAAAACTTTTGGTTTAAAAACTTTTAGGCTAAAATTATTTTTGAGGCTATTTTAGCCCTAAATCTAGGTTCCCAAACACTCCCATTAAAAAGCAAAACTGAACAAAATTATTATTATTTTGATTTATTTTTTGTGCATAAAATAGTTGCTAGTATGTTAATAATTAAATTACAACACAAACCAACATCTCTTCATAAACTTAAATATAAAATCTCACTGACATTGATACCTAAGTGTCATTTCCGTGACCACTGGGCAATTGCTATGGGGTTCAACATAAAACCAACTTATTTAAGAGAAAAATATTTTTAATTTTTGAATGATAAAAATATTGTTTGGACTAAAATTTTACTAATATTATTATCTCTACTACCTCCTTTTCCCTCTACCGTTGTTGACACCACGACCTCCACCTCTACCTTACCACTACCGTCACCACCACTAATATAACCATTAATACATTAATTACAAAGATGAAATCAAATATGAAAAAAAAAAGAAAAAAAAAATTCTCCAAAACATATTTATCTTCAAAATAAAAGGAACATAATTCTATGAGATAGACAAACTCACTCGAGTTTAGGTTGTGATTGGATTAATTCGATTGAAGATTGTATAAATATTAAAATAAATAAGCAAGCCTTAAATATAATTTTAAATTAGTTAAACTTTCAAACCATATTTAAATAACTCACTATTCACTTTAAATCGGGTTTTCCCTATGAGTAGGCAAAGAAGTACTTCAATGTTGCGGATTTAATTCTTATCAATAGAAATTTGATACATTTGTAGCCTTTATTTTTGGATTTTTTACCAGTTAATCTCAATAATTGAATCTATTACCTATTAGGTCCTAAGTTTCTATCGCATGCACTAGCAAGTCCTGTTATATTTTTTTTTATCCCGACTTTACCCTTATTGTTATACTTTCGTGCGTTTAGTTTTTTTTCTCCTAGTTTCCCATTTTATTTTTGAACTTCAAATTGCGAACCACTGACAATATTTTTTTTGGCCATTTTTCATCTCCAACATATTACCACCGCAACCACCTCTTTAGATCCGGTGGCGATGAGAGAAAAAAAGAAAAAAAAAAGTAAAGAGAATGAAAGAGAGGGATGAGAAGCGATTACTAGAGAATAATTCTCATCATTTTATGCTATCACAAATCAAGCCAAAGAATCAAAAGTCTAATTCAGTGATAAATTTATCATGCAACAAATATCAGCCAAAGTTGCATTGATAAATTTATCACTGTTGAATTTGTTAAAAAATTTACAAATAACAAACTTGATTTGAGAAAGAGAGAGAGAGAGAGAGGTATCACAATAAATTTATCATTGAATTAAGTAACAAATTAAGTAACAAATTTATCATTCATAAATTAAGTAACAAATTTATCATTCATAAATTAAGTAACAAATTTATCACTGAATTAAGTAACAAATTTATTAGATCAATTACTCTTCTGTAGAAGATCAACAACACCTTTCAATGTGCTGATTGGATACTTTGCATCCCAAACCGGTGATGGAGGAAGATGGTGGCAACGACGATGTTGAAGATGGTAGATCGATGATGGAGGATTGTGGTGTTGAAGCTATCAAATGAATAATGGGGGAGGAGCAGTGGTAATAGCAACGAGGGAGAAGGACAATGGTGGTTGAGGCAAGTATGGTTGAGCCGAACAACATATATGGTGATGGAGAAGGAGGAGATAGTGTGCCGGTGAAAAATATGAGAGTGAGAGAAAGAGAAGAGAGAGAAATAGAGATAGGGATGTGTTTAGGTTTAAGATAAAATCACTCAATTAAATGTAAGGGATAAAAATGGAAGATGGGCTAAATTATTTTGAGTCAGGACTTCTTGGAAATTAAGTCTGGTCCTAAGGACCGGCCCGTAACTCCCCCATTATTTTTTCCTACTATGGGGGCTGGCTTGGGCTTGGGCTAGTTGATAGTTGACTCTAAACTTCGTTTGGCATGAGTAGGGGCACAAACGATTTGAGTCGAGCTGAGTTGAACTTTTGTATGTTTAATTTGCTTATTTATTACAATTTTAACGAGTTCGAACTCGAGTTCGAACTCAATGAAAATTTAAGGAACTGAGCTGGAGCCGAGTTGGCTCAGGCTTGACTCAAACTTGAGTCTGTTCAAGAGTTTTAACGAGTCAATGAAATTATAAATTCATACTTGCGTATGAGACTAAAATTCCAATTAAAACTTTAATTATACAATTACATATATAATATATGCAAACATATTAAAAGGAAAATCAATATCTTATCAAAATAATAATATCTACCACTAATATTATATAAATGTATTATCTATAGTTAGCTATTGTTTACGTATAAATAAATTTAGTTATTATTTACATTATTTAAATTTATAAATAACATATTTATCCTATTTATTATACATATTTTTACATTATTTAATATATAATTATACTAGCGTATGCCCGTGCCTAAAGGCACGGTATAAATGATTTTAAGATTAAAATGTAGTTATAATTTATACGTATTATGTTGAAATTTAAAAAGTTTGTGTCATTTTTTGATAAAGATATTGAAAAAATATATTGAAATATTTTTCTTCTGAAAGTTTGTGTCAATTTTGCTTGTATTACACTCTCTACAAAACTCAAATAAAATAACAACTCCCCCTAATCATATAGACAGAATATATGAAGAAACTAAAAAAATATAAAAAGTTTGAGATTCAAAGCAAACATTCTCTCATAATTCCGTCATTGTCTAGAGGCATTGATATAACTTAAAAAAGTTTTAGTGTAAATAACTTAAAAATTATTAACATGATATTATTTGGTGTTAACGGTACATTGTTTGGTTTTGTAACTTAATTAATGGTTGAATATTGGGAAG